GAAAATGGAAAATGAAATGGAGCCTGGGATTGTAGGGAGTTTTTGGGGGCTACAGGGAGATTATATTAAGTTATTCTGGGATAATGGAAAGCAACATTAAAACTATGGGGATTATAGGTGTTATTTTGGTGTTATATTGGGGTTTTATTGGGATAATGGAAAATAAAATGGAAACTACTATATAGGGTTTAGGGCTTAGGGTAGGACATTGCATATGATAGCCGCACCGTCCCTACAGCTGGACTGATGCTACTGCAAGTACTAGGACTAACATGATTACTAATAGTACTATTATTATGACTCTTCTTACTATGATTACTATTGTTCTTTAAAAACTATATTTACTACTATTATTACCACAATTTCTATTGTTGCTGTAATTCCTCTTCTATTCTTGCTATTGCTACTAATCTCAAGACGAGCGCTATTGATACTGTTATTGCTCCTAAGCCCCAAACCCCTAAAACCCTAAAACCCTAAAACCCCAAACCCTTAACCCTGAGCCCCAGGCCCTAAACCCTAATCCCTCAAGCCCAGGCCCAAAATCCTAAACCTCTCAACCCAAAACCCTAAACCATAAACCCTGAGCCCCAGGCCCTAAACCCTAGTCCCTCAACCCTAAACCTCAAACCCTCAACCCCCGGGCCAAAACCCTAAACCCCAATAGCACAATCCTTACAGCTGAACTTCAGCTCGTGGTTGCAGGACGTGTCTGGCACCATGCAGTGCTGGCCTGGGCAAAGGCTGGGTTTAGGGTTTAGGGTTCAGGGCTTAGGGTTTAGGGTTCAAGGCGTAGGGTTTAGGGTTTAGGGTTTAGGGCTAAGGGCTTAGGGTTTAGGGTTTAGGGTTTAGGGCTTACGCAAAATCCGGAGCACTAAACTTGGGGTTTCCCAAATTAGGACTACATTTGAATTCGATATAGGGGTTATATGGAATTGCATAGGGCCATAGAGTGCTTTGTAAGGATAAGGATCTCCCGTTATCAGGGGAAGGACTATAGTATTTGAGGGTCTAGATTGGGGTCCCCCTATTTTGGGAAACTTCCATGAACCCCAATGTCCATATGATGTTTCATTTAACTCTCCATTGTAGTAGTTTCCATTTATAACCCCTAGATTAGGGTAGGTGTGGGGCCCTATTAAGGATCATATTCCTTATGGCTTTATATGGATTTTATGAGAATGACGGTGAACAAAAATTAAAACCTGTTTTCAAACCTACCCCTGTAGATCCCGTTCAAAAATCCTGAACCCTAAACCCTAAGCCCTAAACCCTAAACCCTGCACCCTAAACCCCTAAACCCCTAAACCCCTAAACCCTAAATCCTAAACCCTAAACCTTGAACCATAACTCCTTAAACCCTAAACCCAAACTAAACCCTTAAACTGGCAAGCACTCGCGGCAGCTGAGGCTGATGCACTTGGCATGGCAAACCTCCAGGGCCAAGACAGATGACTACTTTAGAAATGACACCTTTGTGGTAGTGTTTAGGGTTTAGGGGGTAGGGGTTAGGATCTAAGGTTTAGGGGCTAGGGTTTAGGGGTTAGGGTTTGGGGGTTAGTGTTTAGGGTTTAGGGATCCTCAATGGGAGACCCCAGAATTCCTGTGGTCCTTATTGCAGGGAAACCCTAAATGCCAGCTTCCATTTTCTTTTGCATTTTCCCGATACTTCCCCATACCCCTAATTTTGGGAAGCCCTAAACCCTAAACCCTCTACAACCCATATATATATATATGCGTCAGCATTCCCGGCCCCCACCCCTCCCTCTGGTCCATGATGTCCATGATATACAGCATGATGAACCTAACTATAGCGTATGATGAACCTACCCCTTTCTTGGTCCTGTGGTCCTGTGGTCTGGGTTTGGTGGTTTAATTGAGAGGTTTAGATTAAGTCTATACAAGCTTCTAGTGTTTATAAAAGGGTTCCGTGCGGTTTAAAGAAGGTTCGCAGACGGTTCATTCATTCAATAGCAAGTACTTGGCGGCCTCAAGAGGTTTTCTGAAGGGGTCTCTAGAGGCCTTCTAAAGGCTTGATAGAGTTTATACATGAGTTTGATACATATCTTATAAGGATAGATTGTTTCTAGAGGGTTTATCAAGATTTTGTATATAGATCTTGCTAGAAGGTTTACTGCGGGTTATGGCTTTTGTAGACTGCTTGCAAAAGGTTAGAGAGTTTTCTGGAGGGTTCGTAGAGCGTTTATGGGTTTGTGATGGTTTCATAGAGTCTTTAGTGGTGGTCCTGTGGTCTGGGTCCTGTGGTGAGGGTTTATAGAGTGTTTGCAAGAAGGTTTTAAAGAGGTTTTACGGAGAGTTCATGGTTCTGGGAGGAAAGAGATATGGCATTCCCAGATGGGGACCATACCATGTTGGGGGTGGGGGGGCTGAGAACGCGGAGCTCGGACGCATATATCCCCTATATCCCCATTCAAGGGACTATTACCCCTAACTTCGGGAAACCTGCACATCTGCAGCATGCCTCCAGCATCGACGCGTGCGCCAGTGAGCATTGCAGCTCACGGTTACCAGCGCCATAGCTGTCCGCCTTGCCACGTGTTGAGGGTTTAGGGCTTAAGGGTTTAGGGTTGAGGGTTTAGGGTTCAGGGCTTGTCCGCCTTGCCACATGGTTTTTACAGTCCCCCTTGAGTAGATAGAATATGGTTTTGGGTATACTAAAATAAGACCCCCGTATATAACATATTCTATCTACTTAACGGGGACTATAGGACTCGGGGTTGAGGATTTAGAGGAGGCCAAGCACAAGTCCTGACATGCGCCTTCTTGATGAGCCATGTCTCGCATGTCTGCGTTCCACAGGCCTAGGGACTTTGCAAGCTGGTCAGATAGTTTAGGGTTTAGGTTTAGGGTTTAGGCTTATAGTCTAAAGTCCTAGTATCCCCCTTAGTAACCGGTATACTGGAGAATCAAATGGAAAAGAAAATGGAATTTGAAATGGCAACTGGGGGGTCTGTCGGGATATATGAGTCAGAGTCTAAACTCCTAGTATCCCCCTTAGTATCCGCTATAGTAGTCCCCTAATAATCCTTGTATAATCCCCTAGAAGTAGTTTAGACTATAGCTCATGTAAGTCTCCGCGGCACTAAGGCCCTGACCGCTTGACAGCTGCCCTGGACAACCCGCGGCGCATGCCAGGACTTGGCTGAGTGCGCGAGCAGCACAACATCGAGTGTCGTACAACAGGGTAGGGAGTAATACTAGCAATCACAGAAGTAGTAATAAGAGACATAATAATAAAAGCCGGAGTAGTAATAATGGCTGTAATGGTAACAATAGTAATAGTAGTAATAGTGATAGTAGAGGAGTGGATCCCTGGAATGCTCCCCATCTAATTCCCCAACAACTAGCCCTACTCTAGTACCTGAGCCCAGGACCTAAAGTTTTAGTATATTCCTCAAAGGTCCCCAGAAATCCCCATACCTCCCCTCACAGGTCCCCAACTTAACCTTAGTCCGCAGCTAGTGTTCCGTGCAACCTTGGGCCATGGCAGTTCTTCCCGTGGCGCGGTTCAGGTAATATACCCTGCACACAAAGGGCTGGTACAACGTCATCACAGGATCCACCTGCAAAATACCCAAAATCTTGCATGACCTGACATTTTCGGAGCCATGGTACTATAGTACAGAGGTCATGCAGGATTTTTTAGTATCAACAGTACCTCACTTAGTCCCCGGGCGCACCTTCCTTTTGAATCTTCCAGCTCCTGCATGGCAGTACACTGGCCCGGCTCTTGTCCGGGCTGCTGTTAAGGAGCTTAAGCTTAGCTACTCTAATCAGAAAACCTACTATTTAATATATGTATATATATATATACACCCATAAGATGGAAATTTAAGTTAGGATCTCTGACAGCAAGCCTAAACCCTAAACCCTAAACCGACGAGAGCACCTTCCACTCTGAGAGAATGGATGTTGCCAGCCGCAGCGTGACGAACAGCCTGGGGAACTCGGCAAGTCTGACAGGCAGAACATCAACCGTCAATAGATGCTCAAATATCTTGCACACATCCCAACGAATCCTCACAAACTCTAGGTCAAGTTGAAAGATGGGGTTGAGTTTTGCTGTGTGTAAGGCGACGGCCGGAGCAGTCGGAAAAAGGATCCCCCTTCCTTCACCTTTGGCACAGCAGGAACGAAGATGGTGCGTGACGTGATGCACCAGCGCCTCCATGCTGGCTTTCCACCAATCATATCTGATGATGAAAGTCGTCCATGCGCAGGCAGCAAGCGTCTTCTAGTGTGATGCGGTTTGCTGTTGCTTGACAAAAGAAGGTACGGAGGATTAAGGCCGAAATTAAGGCGCTCTGCATCGCTGGCCTGGCGAGAACGCTAAGCCTACCTGGACTAAAAAAACATACCACAATACTAGCCTATATACCCATTTTGGAGGGATTAATTCAAGGCAAATCCTTATGTGCATTTGGTAGGCGAATCCCAGCCACTTGCCTTGGTATGGAATTTTGCTCATTGAGCCACAAGCTGCCAGCAGGGTCGTCCGTAAATGATGCATTGCCCAGCTCACCTCTAGGGATCCATGAAGAATCCTAAGCCCTAAACCGTGGAGATCCATGGATATGCAGGTTTCCCAAAATTAGCGGTACCTTTTTGGGGGTCCCTATAATAAGGGTGTTTGTATTTTGGGGTCTGTATTGGGGTCCCCTTATTTAGGAAAATTGCCTACTACAAGAGGGATTCATGGGTAAGTCGACTATGGGCATGCACAGGCATTTTTACTCCAACAATGGAGAATCAACCGGAAAATTCCATGAACAATGAAATGGCAACTGGGGTTGTATAGGGAGTTGGTACTAATCAATCCTAAACCCTAAACCCTAAACCCTTCAGCCCCCCTTTTTTGTGCTCGCAGAGACGCGGGCTGCGGGCCAGCTCTTGTCAGCGTCTTCCCTCTGAAGTTTGCGACGCAATCAACAGCAAGGAAGGATCCAAGATCCGAATCCCCAAACCCTAAACCCTGAACCCTAAACCTGTATCTGGGCAGCAGCCACAGACTTATGACAGTCAGCCGTCCGGCCTGGGAAGTGGGGGCTGTAGAGGCACGACCTGCAGCGCTTGCGGAGGGCTCCGTGTTGAACCCACGTTGGCCCGCGTCCCTCAGCTTCAAACTGGCTGACCATTCGCCTGGGTTGCTGCTAAGGATGTTAAATGAAGTTACCACAATGGGTACATGCAGTAGCTACTATGGTTTCCCCAATATAATAACGTAAACTAAGTTCCTAAACCCTAAACCCTATGTTATACCCCAAGAGAGTAACTTGAATTGAATGACTTAACAGCATCCCAGTCGCTGCCGCCACTTCTCCACTTGCTGAGACCTCTCGAAACTCTTGGACAGATCCTGACTCTCGCTGGGGTCGAGGGACAAGTCAAACAGTTGCTCCTCACCGCTACAGGCATGAAAGATGAATTTCATGGTCCCATCTGTAAGAGCATTCCAGTGGTTCGTCTCATTGTAGCAGATGTTGTGCTCCAAGTCCACCCATTGACGCCACGGCTTTCCTCCAGCTCGCCTCAACAGCCATGTCAGCGGACGTCCATCCAGCTCAGCCTCTTGGGAGGTGTTCCAAAAACCGACGATCTCCAAAAAAGTCGGGTACAGGTCACGCAATTCTGTCACAGCTGAAACAATTGATCCACGATCTAGGAATTGATCACCAAGCTTCTCGGGCCATCTGACAAGCAGGGGTATGTGGGAGGACCCTTCATATGGGTAGCTCTTCCTCCAGAGAAAATGGTCCATCTGCATGTCTCCGTGGTCTGAGGTGAACAACACGAAGGTGTTAGCTAGCATCCCCAAGTTTGTCATGAGACGCAAGATCGAACCAATCTCTTCGTCGACAAAGCTGACACTGGCCAGGTAAGCCCTCCGTGCCAGGGCAAGGGACTTCGGATCAACCTCTCCACACCTAGTCTGTCCGCCCAAAAGTAGATAGAATATGGGGTATATGGGGATCTTCTTATAACATACCCAAAGCCATATTCTATCTACTTAAGGGACTATAATCGGTCCTTAACAACAAAGCCAAGAATGTCTTTTGTAGGCACCTATAGAAAGAACTACCCATAAAAAAATGTAAAGTGATAGGATATATACTAAAGGTCTGTGAAGGCACCAGGCATCCATACTGCCTTGCGCAGAACACTTTCGGAACCGCTCGTCCCATCCTCAGGGCAGCCCAAAAGGTGGAATGAAGGTAGATGGAGAAAAGCAAGCCCGTTGCAGAAACCACAGGTAAGATACGAGATCCCAATATGGCCCTAGCTTCCGTTTCATTTTCCATGTGCTCGTGCTTTTGATTCCCTGAACCCTAAACCCGAAATCCTAAACCCTGAACCCCCTAAACCCTAAACCCTAAACCACACATCACCCCAAGTTTTGAGCCCTCCGACCATCGACGGCTTGTGCTGGCGGCCGGCCAGGAGACGATGTTGAATTCAACAGCCGGGCTGGAGGATCATAGGGGCTATGGGGCCGGTGGAAGGACACCTTCAAGGGTTTAGGGTTTAGGGTTTAGGGATGAGGGTTTAGGGTTTCGGGTTCAAGGGGGTTCAGGGTTTAGGGATGAGGGTTTAGGGTTTAGGGATTACACAGGGTTTAGGGTTTGGGGTTTGGGTTATCCAGGTGTTGAAAAGAGACATGGGATTTAGGGTTTAGGGATCTTACCCCAACAACACTGGAGAACCAAATGAACAAGAACATGGAAATGAAATTCGAACACGGATGAAATTAGAAAACGGATGATATAGGGATCAGGTTAAAGGGATAGGTAGGCATATACTGACCCTATCCATTATGAAGAGGCACAAGTTTACTGTGAGGGCTTAGGGTTCAGGCTTTAGGGTTGTGTGATCTAAGTAGGTATCTTACGAAACACTAGCCTTATCTGCAACAGTATTTGCAGGTGGATAGTATGTCATAACCTGGTTATAACCTCTATTACCAGAATATAGAACATGATAGGTTTCCTTATCATAGTACCTGGGCATAAGTTCCTTGACCCTAAACCCTACATTCAATTCCTCTATACGCCCTAACCCCAAAACCCTTTTTCCCACCTAGCCTTCAAAAAGAAGGGGCTAGCAGACTTCCCCAAGGCCAGCAGCGTACGTCGCGTGGACCTGCCGGTCCAGGCTGTTGGATGTAGCCACTCCGGATACCTTAGGATTTAGGATCTAGTGCTTAGGGCTTAACAAAAAGGCGGTACCTTGGGTTTACGGTTTAGGGATTAGCTTAAACAAGGGAAACTACTATAGTCCAGAGTCAAATGGAAAAACATGGATGCCAGAGTGGACAAGATACTCGTAGGCTGCCCCTCTCCATGAGTTCCAATCCAAGCCCCCGCTGGCTAAAGGATCTTGCCCGGGCATTTGTTGCTGGAACCATTGGTCATAATCATCAAACTCGCTGCCATTCTTGAAGCCGTTGCCCAAACCATCATAGATCTGTAAGTCTTCGAACTCATGAGCGACAGGTTTTCCGGACGTTCGATTCCAACCGAAATGGTTCTTGCCAATAACTACTGTGCGCAAGCCGGCAGCACCCATGCTTCGAGCCAGCTCCTGCGAATATCTTTCTGCCACGGCTCCATAGCCTGGGTTGCTGTTAAGGAACGTAACTCAAGTTACTCTATTGGGGAAACCGAACTAATCAGTATAGATACCCATTATGGTAACTTCATATAAGTTCCTTAACAGCAACCCAGTAGCCAAGCATGCCATGCCTCCATGGCGACCGGCCCGTGAGAATTGCTGCGCGCGCAGGTGTGCAACTTGGGGTTGAGGAGTAGTGATGGTTGAAGGTGGCACCTTCTTGTCCCAATCTGTAGAGATTGGGTGTACGAATGGGGTCTATTGAGTCAAAGCGAAACTGATCTGCAATCAAAAACAGAATGTTGGGAGCTGCCCCTGCATCTGCAAGGTGCAGGAACATGGCCCAACTCCAACAAAAGACCGGTCCAAGGACGGCCTGCGAGTTCCCTTTCACCATGGTAGCAAACAATTACCTCTGGTTAGCAAGGAATGAAGGAATGGCTCCTAAAAGAACTCCGCATATGAGGGTTTCCATGTTCTGTTCCGTTCCTTCCTTCCCTCCTAACCAGAGGTAAAAACCAACTAACAGCGGCTCTGAGCAGGACAAGCTCTACAAACTCGAGCCCCAGAGGCTTCAACAGAATGCGGATGTTGGGACAGGACCACAAAGAAACCCTAAACCCT